CCTGTCGCCCAAACTGATCGATTACTTGTTTATTGACAACGTAGGATGTGTATGTCACCATTTCATGCGGGACGAATTTATCATGTTTTCGGTCGTGGCCACATGGACTTGAATGCTGCAGTGGTCAAGATAAACCAAGATCCGCGGGGTGGATGTGCCGAAGCTGTAAAAGTATATTTTTCAACAGACCAAACTGCTGTCATTGTTGTACTTCTTCGGACATTGCGACCCATCGAAGGTGCGTGCGAAGCGCGTGAAAGGCCGTGTACGCGCGTAAAAAAACTCCAGCTCCTCCGTCTGATCATTTTTTGGGACGTGCAGTGTGCTGTCTGAAGTGCACTTAGGTGTAACTCCGTACACCCGAACTTGACCTATTTTGGTTGCTTCCTTTCGACATAATTGCGTTTGGTAGGCTAGATGGCAATGAGAGGAATGCAACGACGCACGCAAAATCGTTATTCGTCGAATTCTGCATGAATTCGCGATAACTACACCACTGATTAGATGTTTCTTGGCAAGGTAAGGTTTTTGCAGTGATTCCACGAGTGGCTTTGATCTGCATGTCAGTTTCTTCAAGGACATCTGGATGGTTTTGGCGTTTGGCGGCACGGCAATACCGGGCACATCATTTTGACCCAAGGCCGCTTAGAAGATTTGTTCATGCCTTTCTGCTGTTGCATTCCCTATGTGTCCGACTCCTCCCCTCCTTCGTGTTCTCTCCGTCGCCTTCTTTACTTCTCGTATCTTGTCCTGTGTTTACAGAGTCTCGCCTTTGCCCGTGTGACCCGGCATGTGATTTTGCTCCGTTAGTGTGGTTCGATGATATCTGCGGCTCGGAGGCGCGTCAACCGCCTTGCTTATTTTGCACCTTCAAGAGACAGCCGAGCGCATTTAACGTCAACGTTTCATATGATGGCGTGAAATGTTAGTATGTGACTCAGCTAATGTGAGTGATGCCTTTCTCCACCTAATTGTCCCTGAAATAGCGTGAAAATGCTGCTGCAAGAGTGTGGCACACACAACACTGGAGGGAAGTGAAAACTGAAACTGTAACAAGTATCCGCGCGTAAGACAACTCCATTCATTGATCCCCCCTGAGCTGCCTCAGCTGATCTGAAGTAAAACGACAGATCAGACAAAACGACAGAAAGCGAGACACCAGACAAGATTTATTATGGAGAAGCAGAAGACACTCTAAGAAATGCAATTCGTGCTAGAGTGTTTTTATTTCCGGGCATTACATTTGCCACAGGGGAGGGGGCACTCAAGATGGAGGGCGGACGGCGGTCAGGAAGAATTAATTTTAATTCATTCCTGCCACGAACACCATGTGCCAGAGGCTTTAAGATCTTTACAAATGTTCACAATCCTAAGACAACCGCAGGACACCTCCCCACACTTCTAGTGGCGTCACTCAAATATAAATCGTTTTGTTCAAGCAACGCAATCTCGAACATTTGAGGCATCGGTATAGCTCTCCTTCAGTGAGCCTCTGACCTGAGCTACCCGAGCCAGACTGGAGAAACCACCAGCGCTGTCAGCCACACTGGAAAGAATATCCAAAAAACCGCGTAAGCCATCACATATTACACGAGCATTTTCAGTCAAGCTGGGGTGAACATCAGAAGTTCACCCAGGGCGGCCAGACCACCCAACCTACCAAAGACCAATGGAGTATCTATCAGAGTTTTTTCCCACCTGGAGTGAGAAGGCCAGTGCAAGAGAACCACCCCAGACATGGTGGAAGATCACCGGAAATGCTCATACCAGGCTGGGGAGACCGTCAGACCCCCACCCGCCAAGCCAGTCTGGGATGTCACCGGAACGGACCCAGTTCGACGTGAACGACAATCAGAACTGACTCATTCAGACCGGGCTGACCACCAGAACTGCCTATCCAGCATAAAAATTCGCCCAACTGTCCCATCAACGCAGGACAAATAAAAAAACTGTCACAGTCGAACCGTAAGCCACCACACTGCCCCATCAGACTGAAGAGATCCAGCAAACCATCCCTCGCCAGAGATCACTTAAACAGCCCCAGTCCGCCGACGGGGTAGAGATGATCAGAACTGCCCTAACCAGACTGGGAAATCACTAGACTGCGTCAGCCAGACTGGGAGATCACCAGACCACCACAAGCCAGACTGGGAGATCACCAAACTGCGTCAGCCAGGCTGGGAGATCACTCGACAGCCGCAGACCAACAGAGAAATCGTTCGAACTGTTACACCGGACATTAACAGCGGGTGGTCCCTTTCTATGCGAAATTAAAGTTCCCGCTTATCATTTGCACCATATGAACGTGCGGACTCACAAATCATGCGCTGAATTTCGTCGGCTCTTCCCAGCTGCCACTGGTTGAAGCGTCACAAACTGTTCTTCATCACCGATTCATCTGCTCATACAGTGCGATCCACAAATGGCGAAAGCCTTGCTTCGTTTTACGAAAGTCGCCAGAAAACTGTGCAACCAATCCGGACTGGGGGGGGGGGGGGTGGGGCGGGGGGAGAAACGGAACTGTACACCCATACTGGAGAGATAACGAGAGAAACCAGTCTTCCTCAAGAAGATAAAGACACAACACGAGTCGTATGTCCCCTTAAACCTCAGAGTACCGTCTGGCCCATCCGGCCCAGGCTGCGATTTGGGGAGACTTCCAGAAATACACGGGCCGGCCTGGAGAGAACGCCGGAGCACGGCAAGCAGTTCCAGGTACATGCGGGGCTGCTCCAACAGGGCGCACGAGTCAGCCCTGGGAGAGCACCAGAACACTGCGAGCAGCTCAGGGTTGGTGCGGAGCTGTTCCTTTAGGGCGCACGAGTCAGCTCTGGGAGAGCACCGGAACACTGCAAGCAGCTCGGGGTAGATGTGGACGGCCACAGCCAGACTGGAATATCACCAGACTGCGTATGGACCGCCACAGCCAGACTGGAATATCACCAGACTGCGTATGGACGGCCACAGCCAGACTGGAATATCACCAGACTGCGTATGGACCGCCACAGCCAGACTGGAATATCACCAGACTGCGTATGGACCGCCACAGCCAGACTGGAATATCACCAGACTGCGTAAGCCACGCTGGGAGATCACTTTCCGGGCACTGAACTCGTTGGGAGAGGCTCCGTTGACAGGTTGGCCCGCAGAACTGGGTGGTGAGGCTGTTGGAAGAGTAGCATGCCAAGGCGCACAGCGCTCACGATGATATAGTGCCAGAATGGGCTACGCAGAAGTGGAAGAGGCCGGTGGTATGCAGTCTTCACGGAGTCGACCATTATGACCGCGGCGTTGCATGAAAAGAAAGACAAGAAAGTATACATGTACCCTGCCCGCCTGACCCGCAGAAGGGTACCCGCGCGCTGGGAATAATCGAACACCACATCCTGAGCGTGAGGGACAGGGACGTGTGTGACCACCACGTCCTGAGCGTGAGGGACAGAGACGTGTGTGACCACCACGTCCTGAGCGTGAGGGACGGAGACGTGTGTGACCATCACGTCCTGAGAGTGAGGGACGGGGACGTGTGTGACCACCACGTCCTGAGAGTGAGGGACAGGGACGTGCGTGACCACCACATCCTGAGAGTGAGGGACAGAGACGTGTGTGACCACCACGTCCTGAGAGTGAGGGACGGAGACGTGTGTGACCACCACGTCCTGAGCGTGAGGGACAGGGACGTGTGTGACCACCACGTCCTGAGAGTGAGGGACGGGGACGTGTGTGACCACCACGTCCTGAGAGTGAGGGACGGAGACGTGTGTGACATGTCCCAGTCGGGCATTTGTTTTCATCCAAACGTTGCACCGGCTATCGGTCATACGCTTTCTATTGCCATCAAGAATGAGATCGAAATACATCACGAGTTTAGGATTCTCATGCTGAGTTATCAAACTTCGGCATACCAGGAGGTGCGTATGGTACTGGCTAAACGACGTGACGGATTCATAAGCGGATTGAAATGTTGGTTATTGACAATATGGCCAATGTCTGCTCGATACCTTCGTTTAACCAGTATCGCCTGGTATATTGAAGGTGGATGACTCACTATAAGAACTCTGAACTCCATGCCGATAAAACTGAAGCGGCTGCAAGAACGAAATACATCAGCAAATTCCAAAACAGTCAGTTCTATCAAGGCGCGGGTTTAGCGCCTACAAAGAAAACAACATACACCGAACCACCCATCAAATCACGCTCACCGCTGGCAACAATTTACAGCACCACCCACCGGTGCACGCCCACCACCCATTCATCACGCGTTCTTTCAATTTCCGCAACATTCGGCCGAAGACAGTGTGACACCAAATGGTCGCAGACATGCGGCACAACGGCGGTGGCTGTCGTGAAATCCTTCAATTACTTTGTGTTCCTTAGCGGCGTGTCACGCGGACATGTACTCTCCGCACACTCGTACATGAAATACCTCTCGGAAACCCACCCAATCTCCTCCCAACGCAAGCTTCTCATGACGTGTCGGCCTCAGGGCAAATCACATCGACGTGTGGCACATGAAGAACGTGACCCATTGCGGGACGGCACATTCAGCGCGGAGAGCTGCTCGCACGTCTCTAGGGTATTTGCCCAACAGCCCTCCTGATTGCGTTGTTTGCTATTACGACATCTTCGGATTGTATGCATGAGCCGCACTGCTTTCGAGCAGGTGTGAAAAGAGGGTTGGAAGAACAAGTGCTGGTATAGGTTGGAAGAACAAGTGCTCTTACGAACGAAGCAAATGCAGCCCTAACTGGATGGATTCGATTGAGGGCGATCGCGGCGGCGACTGCCTGTTTAGGTCGCTTGGACCGACTCAAACTTACATCTACACGGGACTGCAGTCAGCTGGGAATAGTCTGGCTTATCACTGGCGTGCGTTAGTCCAGACGTAGACGGGCGACAAAGCACGCATCTCACCAGTGTGGGAGTCTAGCCACGGCGCCGTGCCGTGCTGCTGCTCAGCGAGAGGCCGCGCTCCCCGGCGCCGCTGCACCGCGCCGTACCTGTGTCCTCGTCGTCCACCATGCTGTTGTAGATGTCCATCAGGAACTGGGGCGCCGAGCTGCCTATCTGCTGCACGGCCGGCCTCGGTCGCCGGTGCAGGCCCAGCAGCTGCAGCAGGTCCTCCTGGATCTCGGCCCGCTCGCGCTTCGAGATGTCCTCCCCGGCTACCGTCTGGCCGCTGCCGTTGTCCACATAGATCGGCGAGTGCTCGGCCGCGGCCGCCGCCACGCCGCACGCCACGCAGGCCCACAGCAGCCACATGCCGCACGCGCACGCGCTCTCGTCACCTGGTCGCACTCTCCGCGCAATCCCGTTCGCTGCGCCGCGCAGCAAGGAGTGCCCGGCACCTCGGCCGCAGTGCACACCTTGAGCTGCTTTGGCGGCGTGTTATTTTGGCGAGGAAAGCCGAGCCCCGGACGGTCCGCCGCGGTCGGGGGCACGCCCTGATGACGGGGTTACGTCTGAGGCGATGTCGCCGGATGTGCCGGTGGGGCGCGGAGCCCTCCGGGGCAGGCAGCTCCGCGCTGGAATGCGCCCGCCGAGGCCCCCGCCGCTCGTCCCGCGGCTCCCCATTATGGAGATTAGGACAGCGGCGACAGTAGGAGACGCTGCTTCGGCGCCCGCCCGCGCAGCGCGCCGAGGAATGCAGCATGCTCGGTCCCCTCGGCCATGCCTTCGTCGGACGCCACCGTGCCATGCTGACAGGTGGTCGAACCGGGCGGTGATGGCTCGTGACGGTCGGCACCCCACGATCTCTTAAACAGGAAATTTGCGGCTAGAAGGAAGATCGCATATGAATTAGGTGGTCGGTTGGGTGTGAAGTCACTTTCACAAGTTTGACGCAACAATTTTTTTTCTGGTACGCTTAACTTAACCCGCTTGACCCGCGCCGACAGCTGTCCCAATTTATCAAGGGATTCATGACTCACTCGATTCTCATGAAATTGTCTCCCCACTTGGGTGCATATTAGCGCGTTTTCCAGAACTGACTGTCTCTGCAGATAATGCTGCATTGTTTCAGCACCGGTGCGGTGTGTGAATGTCCTTCAATGTCGTGTGGATCATGCCCGCTACTTTATATGGCGATTGTGGTGATGTGGAATCAATCTCAGAGACACCACGGTGAGCTGCATGTTTATCGGTCCAGAGCCGAACCGTTCTGTTTGTGTGCGATGTGCTCACACAGTGTGTTAGACACTTGCAATGTGCAGGAGTGTCTAAATGTGTTCGCAATAAAACATGCCCCAATACATTGTCTTCCTCTGCGTTCAGCATCAATTCGGAAATGTGCGCGGCGCCAAATGACCGCTGTAGTCGGCGCGCCCGAAAGCACCAATCAACAAAAACGGAAATGTGCGCATGCCCGATGAGCCATCAAGCGAAATGTCTCGACGGTTATATGCGGTGTTAAGTCTCCAACTGGGTTATGTTGGGTGAGTGCGAATTGACAGCCATTTCGGCAGAGGATAAGCAATTTATTAAGGAGTCTTCGACCATTTGGTATTTTAACATGCGGCATGCTCCAAAGCTCGTAATGTTTTACTGTTCGATGAGATTGGTGCGTTGTGTTTGCATCGGATCACCGTAGGTTACATGTTGTTTGCATTGCTTCCAAGCTCATAAGGAATTGTCGCTAAACACGAACAGCCGGGTACACCCTAGATTGGTGGCATACGTCAGGGATGGTGTGACTCCCTAACACCCATCGCCGATGATACTACTCCCCAATCTGTCCTGTAGTCTTGGGAAATGAGTTATATAGCCAATTATTCACCAATAACAACCATCTAAATCGAACTGACCCCCTCATCGGGCATCATGACCCCTTTGGCAGTCAGTTCTGAAGTGAACTCCCATGAGGGGTGTCACATCCAAAATCAGGATGGTCATTTGGAGAGTCACGAGGGAGAAGTGACAGCCCTGCAGGGCATCCTGACTCCCGGCGGAGTTGCCATGTGGGGAGTCAAATGTAATTGAAAGCCACCGTTGGGGAGTACGTACTCGCCGTAGGAACGACCGTTTTGACATATCGTGTGACTCCCTACAAGGGAGCCAAAACGTTTTTTTTCGGTGCATGACGGACAAATCGCAGACAAGCTTGAACGCAGGCATACTACAGGCAGACGTGCTTACAAGGACAAGGTAAGCCATGCTGATCGCCGTTTCACCAGTGCATCAGGATCACCATGTTCCACTGTCCAAATCGTTCGACATGGGAAGTTAAAAAAATCAGCAGTCACCCGGCATTACTTTTCAGTTGGTTTTGAGTGAACCACTTCAATGTCACACGGAGGGAACATTCGACGCGAGTTTTAGAGTCTGGACACTTGTTGAGCATTCGGGATCAAGGAAATGGGCGTCGCCTACGTACATAACGATCTTTCCATGCGGGATATGTTGCAGCAAGGCATTGGTGAAGATTAAAAATGGCGCTGGCCCCAGGATGGATCCTTGGATCCCCCCGTGCGTCACATCCGATGCACACAGGCCTCCTCGCACAGTCTGGGCACGTCCCCGCAGCCACGCCAAGAACCAATCCGGATGGATGCCATACCAACCGACCTTGTCCAGGAAACGGTCATATTCAACGCTGTCGAAGGCCTTGGAGGTGTCAGCTGTGACAAGTGACGTCACCATGCCCCTGTCAATGATGTCAGTAGTGAATGTGACAGCGTCAAGCAGGCCCCCCTCCGCAGACATGGCCGGCCGGAGCCCGTACTGCTGCGGGCGCCCGTACTGCTGATGGTGGTGTGCCAGGCAAGTCATTGACGGTGTGCACACCACTCGTTCGCACACCTTGGCGACAACAGGGATATCTTATATTGGCCTGTGATTATTGGGATCCCTGGCGCCGCCTTTGTTATGGAGCGCGGTCACGGTAGCCGCTCCCCAATGACCGGGAAGGTCGCGCTACAGCAGTTTACAAGTTCAAGTAAATGGGACCCACGACTGGGAACGTCATTCTCAGCATCTGGCTGGAGATGCCGTCGGGCCCACGGGCACAAGACGTGTCCACGCGCTGCAGCGCCGCAGACAACTCCGGTAGAGCGGCGGGGCGTGGTGTGAACACACCGGCGCAAACTCGTGGCGGAGCGTGGTGTGAACGCACCGACGCAAACTCGCGGCGGGCGTGGTGTGAACGCACCGGCGCAAACTCGCGGCGGGCGTGGCGACAGCGGCTCTCCAGCGTCGCCTTCCGCCAGTGCGCCTGCCACGCCAGAGCCGACAGACGCGAAGAAGCGGTTCAGTCGGTTGGCCCATTGCGGATCTGTGGCTGCTGCACTGCTCGTCCTCGGCTTTGGCTTCTTACGTACATAATATGTGCATGCTGATTTCGAGACAGTAGCTGCACGTGACCTCCAAGGCTGACCGCTGTCTACTGATGTCTTCTGCTGACTATTGTCCATTGACCTCCACTACTGACCGCTGCCTATTGACCTCCGCTGCTGATCGCTGTCTATTGACCTCCGCTGCTGATAGCTGTCTATTGACCTCCACTTCTGACCTCTGTCGATTGTCGTCCGCTGCTGATCGCTTTCTTTTAAATATTCGCTGCTGACCGCTGTCCATTGACCTCCACGGCTGACCGCTCTCTACTAACCTCCGCTGCTGACCGCTGTACAATGACCTCCACTGCTGACCGCTCTCTGTTGACCTCCGCTGCTGACCACTGTCTATTGACCTCCACTGCTGGTCGCTGTGTATTGACCTCCACCGCTGGCTGCTGTCTATTGGCATCCGTTGCTGGCCGCTGCATATCGACCGGTCAGCCGCTCTACGCATGGCGCCCCGAGAGCTTAAACATCGGCTTCGATCACTATTTGTAAAGGCGTATGGACTGGGCAGAGCCGCTCCATGTATGCCGCCGCGAGGGACCAAACATCGGCCTCCATCGCCGTTTGCAAAGGCGTATGGAGCGGACAGAGCCGTTCTACACATTTGTAGAGCCATCTGGAGATTGGTCCCGGTCAATAGCTTTTACTTTCAAAGTGGTCAGCCCATGCAGGTGATATTGCGGCGTTCAGATCATGACCTTCTTTACAAGTACTGTTGCTGTTGAGGAATGGGAGCGCTTAGCTAATGATCCTTGTTGTTGCATAGCTGCCGTCTTTCTTGTGCTGACCAGGCCAAAAGGGTCATGGGGATAGCTCAGTGTTTGGAAGCAAACCACTGGGGTGTTGATTTGTTGTTTTTTGGAGCCACGTCAAATATCAATGTGGCATTTTCTATGTTGTTTTGGGCCCCAAATTTGTAGCGGAAATTATACAACGTTAAGGATAAAGCTGATCATGGTACAAATCCTTGCTTATTTTGGTGATATTTGCTTGACGGTCATGATCCATTATGCTGCCGAAAAACAAGGTATTTTTCCAGAGAATGCGGCAAAATTAGTATGAAAATGAAGTGATCTAAATCATTTCAGCAGCCAAGATTTTGACGGCTGTTGGGATGTCGGCCCTCTGCTCGGCCTCACCATTAGTCATAGAAATCGGCGCCCCTCATAAACCGGATTTATGCAAAGAAAATATGCAAGTTTGTCACTGGTAGAAAGGGATGTGCCTTCATTAGAGGTGATCTCATGCAAATCTAGCGGGGGAAATACAGAAAGGTGTTGCAATGAAGAGTAGCAGATTTTGAGATGCTAGCTGACTTCTCCTGAACTCTGCGCGCCGCATTCGATAATTGAAGGGCAAGGTCATAAAGCTTACAGCTTTTTGCTAGTTAGGAAGGGGAGAAAATTTCAGAGTGGGATTTTGCAACCTTTCCCAGGAGCGTTATAGAAATGAAAACATAGGGGCAGCTGAAAATGATACGCGTACTGGAAGGTCTTTACTAACACAGGATTACGCCCTACATTCTTAGCACATGTCTTGTGATTTGGCGCACTTCCGACGCACTTTCTGGTATAAAGTCTACTTGCAATGATAACATGAAGGTTGCGTTATTGAGCCTGGCCTGAATGACCCTCATTGGTAACAGCAATCGCTGGAAGGGAGATGCCTCGACCGTATTCCAGGTGGGCTCAACGTTAACCGGTGGAAAGCTTTTCTGTCCCGTTAATCTCGGAAACTTTTTGTAGAATGTGAAAAACCCAATAGCATTCAGTTTCTCTCGGCAACTGCACTTTTTAAGATACCAACAATGCCTAACAGGAGGGCAATGCAGGGCGGCGACCTCCACATGGTCTCAAAATTCTACGCAACCTGTTCATAGAACAATAGTACTGCGCATCTTTGAGCCTATGTTCCACCCCCTTTTCACAGAAACTGAACGCGTCTTTGGCACTGTATAAATCAATCGTTTGAGTAATCATCAGT